ACCTTATTTGCTTATTCCATGTCAGCAGCCCTTCAACTAGTCTGCAGTGAGGGTGGAGTGAGCTGTGCAGACAGCCCTGTCAGGTGCCTATTTTTAGTGCCTTTGCCAGATTACAAAGCTCCATCACCAGAGAGGAGGGACGCAGCTGACACTCCGACCTGCACTCTGGAAATCTCCCTGGGTGTGTCTGCCTCTGCAACACGGCTCTTCAATAATGCATGTGGCTATTAGCACCAGGCTGGGGACAACATGCCCCCTCCCAGTGATCAAAGCACCGCCTAGGAGCAGAGTTGCTGATCAGATTTCATGGATGCCTAATAAACGCTGCCCCTCCAGAGGAGATTAGAAAGGGCCGTTTCATGTCCAAGGATGAAAGCAGCAAGGATTTGGGACAAAATCTGGCTTCCCGGAGAAATCAAAACACTTCCATTTCATTACAAATGGATGCATGACACAGCTAATAGCTCCTGCGAGGGGAACGCAGCAGGACCAGCTGTCTATATAGGCAGCTCCTCGAGAATGCTGTGAGAAGCATGTGGGGTGCAGGATCAGGAAGTCACTGGATTTCCTTATGCTCAGGGCCTCTCCCAGACCGCAGGCCTCTGTCTCCAACCACTAGGAAGTATCAGCTCAGGCTGGACCCTCCACCTCTCGGAGGTGATTGGGTGGTTGAAGCCAGGACCACTGCACAGGGAGTATCTGCGGCCAGCAGCTGACATAATATTAATAGCTGCTCATTACTGTGCGCGATCATGTGTCCAGCTCTGTTCACACAGTACCGCTAATCCTAGCAGCAGCTGGCAATGTATTATTAGATTTTGCTACAATGAAGAAACTGAGGACAGCACGTGTCTAAGGAATCTGCTCCAGGTCACCCAGTGGAGAAGTGCCAGGGGGCAGGGTAGAGCTGGGCCTGCGCTCATGCCTCACTGTCCCCTCCCAGAAGCAAAGTCAAAGCCAATCGCAAAAGGTGGCAGGTGTTTTCCACCATCCAGGGAGGTGGAGCATGTAGCCAACACCACATACATCTCCGCACCTTCCAGGGCCGGACTCCCGCCCTCATCCCAGCGTCTCCGTATCTTTTCCCTAGAGCTGGCCTAGGTCGAAGATGGCTGAGAAGCTGGTTTCTTCTGGCGCCTCGTCATGGGCTCCCAGACCAGTCATCCATCCTGTCTGGCTGGGCCCCATCACCAGGGCACCTTGGTGGCGACAAGGCAACATTACAGGACTTTCCTAGCTTCCCCTGGAACCACCTCAGTGCCAGCTTGTCCCCCTTGCCCAGTCCTTCCTTCTCTGCAAAAGCTTTCTCCACCTATATCCCCAAACGATGGGACACTTGGACCTAACCTCCATCTAGAACCTCCCCCAACCTACAGCCAGATAGGCTGGGGCCCACCCAGTGTGTAACCATCTCTGGACTTGGAAGATCATGTTGCACCTGTGTAGCCAGGAGCTACCTGTGGATCTCTCCACCGCCTACCTACCAGGCCCTTCGAGCACCAGGTGGACCACAGGGAGCTGCCTTTTTATAGACCTGGGTTCAGAGTGCTGGGCACATGCTGGGGTCACGGACAGTCGGCTCTTTCGGTCTCTGCCCCAGGGACAGGGACAGGCTCCTCCAGCACCCTGGAAGAATGGGCCCTCCACGCTGTGCTCCCACGCCTGGGCTGGAAGCTGTCCGTCACCCACAGACCCAAAGATGCCGTCTCGGTGACGAGCCCTTTGATACCTGTCTGTAACTGCGCTCTCTCTCCCAGTGGTCAGAGCCCCTCGCGGGTCAGCTGTGTCTATGAGACAGGGCCAGGCTTGGCATTTAGCACCTTGGCCGTCAAGGGCGCTGACAAGGCCAGCACGCAGGAGGGCCTCTCAGGCAAGTGAGAGCCAGGAGAGCTGGCCTGGCCGGGCAGGCCGGAGCTCGGTGACCGGCGCTGTCCAGGGCACTTCGGAAGAGGTGTTTGCAAATCACAGACCTTGTGCTGTGGAACGCAGCCCCGCCCCTGCCTGTCCACTGTGGACTCCACTCACTGCCTGTCTCAGCCCCGCACCCAGGGGGCGCTGCTGCCCTGCCTCCCCTGCCGGCTGCTCCAGGGGCCTCGGCGAGCCCTCAGGTGAGACTGGCCGGGAAAGCCCACAGGCTCTGCCCCAGGGCGCTGCCCAGGTTGCGCCCCTCACGACCTGGGGTGACACTCTGCCTCCGAGCCTGCCTGGCACAGTGTCTGTAAGTGTCAGTGGTGGTCAGTGTCTGCGTCCTCCTGCCGGCCCGCCCGCGGCTCCTCTGGTTGCAGTGACGAGTTTTTCCGGGCTGGGCCCCAGGAGACCCGCTCCGGCCCGCCCCCCCCACAGCCCTGCTCACCGGTCAGTCAGCGGGCGGGCTGCCTTTCTCTGCCCGCGAGGGCCCTCCTGTGAGGCCCCGGGCCATTCCAGCCCAGCGCCTGAGCTCCCCAGCGCGCACCCCACAGGCTGTGTCCGTGCCAGGCTGTGCTGGGAAAGCACCTTCACTGGCTCCTGCTGACCGCTCCTGGCCAGCCCCTCCATCCCCAGACCTCTCTGCCTGCTTCACTCAGAGGCCTTTATTTTTCTTTGTCAACGATCTTTTATTTTGAGGTCACTGTGGATTCACATGGAGTTGTGTGAGACAACACCATAAAGCCATGTGCCCTCTGACCTGGTTTCTCCCAAGGGTAACGCCTTGCACAACTGCAGCGCAACGGCACGCCCAGGGTCGGGAGGCACCGGCATCGGGGGGCCAAGAGGCCAGTGTCCGGCACGCGAGGCCCCTCTGTTGGCCTCCTTCACCTGGTCTGGATACTCTACTCAGGGCTTTCTCTTTTCTTTGTCTCACTTTCATCGAGGCAGCTTTGGTCTGGCACATGGTATATGATTTAGGGGTTCAGGTTCACACTCCTCAGACGTTACCACGCCCACACCAAAGGCCGCAGGCCCCCACCGTCCACTGGGCTCCCCGACCACCCCCAGCGCTCTGCCACCTCAGGCCATGTCTCCCCACCCAACCGCCGCCCGCACGGCCGCTGGAGGTGCCTGGCATGGAGCTGGGCCTGAGACCCGCCCTGACTGGCTTCCCAGCGCCTCACTGACGCGCAGGCCCTCCTCTCCCTGGCCTCAGTCTCCCCGCTCGTGCAGCGACTGGACTGAGCGGCCCCCGGCCCTCCCCACAGAGCAGGTGCGAGCAGCAGCTGTCAGCCCCAGCAGAGGAAGCTCGGGCTTGGCAGCTCTGCCTCTGCCTGCTGGCCCACCTCCACCCTCTGAGCTGGCCACCTGCCACGGGCGTGGCGGGACCTGGCCTTCCTGGTCAAGGGCTATCTGGAGATCACGTAGTAATTAACTCAAGTATGTGCCTGTCTGTTCTGCTTCTGAAGCTACTTGAGGATTGAAATGAAGAGAAAGGACCCCGCGTTCTCCGCACTGTTACAGGGAGGGGGTCCCGGTCCTCTCGTGAGCCAGGCCGGCCACAGAGCAGTTAGCTCAGGGGGGAGAGTGTGAGCGGGGCCGTCACCGGGTCTCAGCTACTGCTCCTGGCTGGGGGGGAGGCTCTGTCATGTCAGCTACTCCTCCTGGCTGGGGGG